GCATCAGGGGCATCCGTGGCTGCACAGAAAGAAGCAAATTTCATGTGACCCTCTCCAAGCAAGATCCAGTATCAGGAACAGTCATTCGCCCTTCATGGTCCGGCTGGGGCGGGGGGTGGGGGGAGGAATTCTCTACAGAAGCCTCGCCACGTGGCTGGAACTTACCGTTCCCTGCCCCCCCCCAATCCATTCTTCTCTGCCCCTGTCCAGGGCTTTTCAACTACTTATAACTGTATCCCCTGCTCCTTAAACTTCTTTAAAGAGGACTGAGCACCACTTACCCTCTCCTGGGGCTTGGGGACCAGAGAAGGGAGGTCACAGTTCAGCCCTCAGGGCAAGGAGGTGTTTGGGGGTGTTTGCCCTGATGCTGATGGTCCCCCGAGTCTGGGCTCTCTGAGGCCTGCTGGCTGCTTTGGGACTTTTCCTCACTCCCAGGCTGTCTTCCACCACATCTCTCCACTTACTGTTAGAAGCAAGATACTTGAGGAGCTTCCAGGCTCATCATTTTCTGTTTCTCCCTTGTTGTGGACTAGAAGCCAGAGAGCATCAGACACCAGCTAGGCACTGGGGGTCCATGCTCACCAGCACCCCATTCCAGACATGTGGGGCTTCCTGCCTCACATGGACGTAGCAGCGGGATCCGGCCCACCCCTCACTCAGCTGTGTGACCTTGGACAAATCATTTGACCTCTCCAAGACTCAGTTTCCCAGTCTATAAAATGGGATGATATTAGACTTCACCCCTCAAGGCTGACATGTAATAAACGGCCAGAAAATCCAGTGTTGCAGCCACGATTACTATTCTCATCCTCACGGGGGCCGTAACCTAGTTTAAGCCTCACTGAGGCATTTGTAAAAAGCCCATTTATCAGGTGCAGAGGGCTTCTTAACGATTTATTCCCCTCAGAACAACCAAGGACTTCTTCCACCAGCTCTAACTCCAGGTCAGGCACCGTGTGTCATTTGTCCTGATGTCCCCGGCGCCCAGCCCTGGGTGGGGTCCTCAGTAAACGCCCAATGGACAAATGAGAAAAAGAGAGATCAGACAGGGGCGCCCAGACAAGATGCACAAAAAATTGTAAAAGAGACTCTGTGCTACAAGAGGACTCACTGAGAATAACTTTAATAACTTCGTTCCTTGAGGAAGCTAACGGGGAAGAGGTGGGGGAAGGGAGAGACGCTTAAGAAGAAGGGTTCAATGTACACAAATATGATGACTTCGAACTTTCAAGGTAGCACCCCCGGGTCGCACTAAACAGGGCCGACCCCTCCCTGGGGTCAGACGCACAGGTGGCCCTCTGGAGCCGGGGCTGGAGTCCTGGTGGGAGGCGAGGAGAGGGTGTGGGTAGCGGGCTCGGAGGAGGGGGTGGACGGGTGAGGCGAGGCCCGGCCCGCCACAGTCCTGCCCCTGGCCCCTGGGAGCTTGCCTCCCTGTGTCCGGGCCGGGCGAGGGGTTAATGCTATGGCCAGCGGGGAGGCCTGGCGGGCCCGGCGGGTTCTGCGGGCCTGGGCTCAGTGGGGTGGGTGGCGCCGCTCGGCCAGGCTCCCGCGGCCCAGCACCTCCCCGCTGAACTGGTAGGTGAGCTTCTTCTTGACCTTCTTCACCTCACCCGTCTTGCCGTAGTTGCGCAGGGCGCGGGCCATCTTCTGGTAGGTCATTTTCTTGCGGTTTCCCTTCTGGATGCCCCAGCGGTGTGCTAGTGCCTCCTTGTGCTTGGACGAGAACTGGAAGGTGCCCTTGTCCTTGTCCACCCACCAGATGCTGTCCTTCATGTCCCCGCTGCGGAGCAGGTCCAGCAGGAACTGGTACAGGCGGATCTTCTTTTTGCTGCCTGCGGGCGGGAGGTGGTCAGCGCCCCAACACAGGGACCCACCCTCACCTCCCCCTGATGTGGGACCCCCCGGGGGGGGCGGTCACTGGGGAAGGACTGGGGGGACGGGGCGGTCCGCAGGGCCCCTGGCACTCACACCCGCTCACACCCACTCACATGCAGCCCAGAGAGGTGCAGACGCCCACACACCCGCCCACGCTCGGTCACGGAGATGCTGGTGCGTGTTCGTAACACACCCGCGCCCATGAGTGTGTTCTGAACACCACACAGGAACGGGCACAGACGGTCACAGAGGCGGCTTGGGCAGGCGCTCCCCCGCTCACAGATACGGACACACACTCAGCTCTGTGGTGTGACTGCTGTGGCCTCGGCTGGGGGGCAGGGGGCACCGCGTGGCCGGGGTCGGGGCGGGCCGGACGGCTGGGCCGCATTACCTGTTTCCCCATGCAGGAGGCCAGGCCCCGGCTCCAGGCCATCAGCCTCCCCGTCCGACACCTCCAGCGGGGGGCTCTGCCTCTCGCCTTCCTCCTCATCCGAGCTAGGCTGGGCCGGAGACAGGGAGGGGTATGGGAGGCACATCCGGGGTAGGTAGGAGACCTGGAAAGGCAGGGAAGGAGGGTTGAGGTCAGTGCGGCCCAGTTCACAGCTCAGGGCTGCCGGGTAGGGGTCATCCAAGCAAGAGAAGAGGGAGTCGGCGGGGGGCAGAAAGTTTTGGGAGAAGGCTGGGGAAGTTGGAGGTCAGTCAGGTTACAGGGGTCAGGCACGGTCAACTCCACACAGCGAGTGGGTTGTGGGGGACCAGGGGCTGCTGGAATCCGGCCCGCCCTGGGGCCCCCTGGTTCATGGCTGCCTGGCCAGGGGAAAGGGCGCCCTTACCCCAGAGGCACAGGGGTACCATGTGGCCTGGCATTCCTGGGGTCGCAACTGGCAGGGCAGAGGGGCTGGGGGGTCGGGTGAGAAGTGAGGGAAGGGCCAGTGGAGGTCCGCGAAGGGTGGTAGAGGCTCACGGAGGCCCCTGACTGGGATTCGGGTGCGTGGGGCTGAGGAGGGTCAGTAAAGGGGGTCGGTGGAGACGGGGAGGCCAGCGTCCAGTGACTCGGGGGCCGGGCCCATGAGGGGCCAGCAGATGGGGTGGGGTGCAGTGGGGGTCAGGAGGGCCACGGTGGCCGGGCGGGTCAGTGGAGGGTGGGAATTATCGGGGGAGAGCAGATAAGGGGTGTGGGGTCACGAGGTCAGTCGGAGGGTCAGGAGGCAGCCGTTGGGGCTCCGGCCGCCGTTGGCGCTGTGGGGCAGGAAGCCGAGTTGAGTAAGAGCCTCTGTCAGCTTCCTGTGAAGAGCCGGCCTCACCACAGCCCGGGTCCCGCGGGACCGGCGGCCGCACGCACCTGGTGGCCGATGCCCGCGTGGGTGGGCGCCATGGGGGTGTCGAGCACGTGCATCTGCTCCAGCTCCATGTGGCGGTAGAGCTGCTGCAGCTGGGGGGGCTGCACGCTCTGCAGCTCCGTGAAGTGGTTCTCGGCGAAGCTCTCGAACTCGCTGTGCACGTGGTGCGGGTGGAAGTCCCAGTAATGGTCTGCAGGGACGGCCAGGCAGCGGGGGGTGAGCCCGGGGTGCGCGGGGCAGCGGGCGGTCATCAGAATGCAACACGCCGTCATGCCGGGCGGGAGGGGGCTGTGGCCACAGAGCCGGCTGGGCTCCAAGCGGACAGGCATCATCTCACCACCCACCTCGTTAGGCACACCCCCATTTTACAGATGAGAACGCTGAGGCCGGGCCAGGCAGTTGGAGGCCCCGGGGCCGGGGCAGAGCCGAGACCCAGCTCTGAGGCAAAAAGCCTGCGCTCCCAGCAACCGTTCTAGCCTGCCTGCCCCGCGGTCATGAGGACCCAGGCAGAGTCTGAGTCTTGGCTCTGCCATTTGCTTTCTGTGTGACCTCAGGCACATGCACGGACCTCTCCAGCCTCAGTTGACTCACTAATAAAATGGGGATAATAGTTATTGGGAGGATACAAATGAGTTCACATTTGTAAAAATTCCCAGGCCCAGAGTAGGCCCTCAGGGAACGCTGATCCCCCTCCACTCCCCTGGAAACCACAGAGTGGTTCCTGAGGCTACAGTCACACGCACACGGTCTTGTCACATAGCCAAGGTGTGATCACAAAGTCACACGGCTGACATTCCTCGCACACCAGAACCTGTCCCAGCCCGCAGCGCTGCCCCTTCAGAGCCGTGCCCCTGCGCTGCTGGGTCTGTCTCCCAGCCAGGTCGCCAGGACACAGGGCTGTGCTGGAAACTCCCCCAGAGGTGCTTTCAGAGTCTGCGGTGGGGGGATTCGAGTTTGGGGAACAGCCACATGCCATCGGGAGCTCTATCTTGGGACTAGGACATGGTTTCTCTGGACATCTTTTCCAGGAAAAAAAAAAAAAACCCAACAACCTGCTGCATGTCTGTGGAGTTCCTGGGGACAATCTGGGTCCAAAAGAAGACATGGTGATAAAACGACGAGGGACTTTCTCATGTGACCCAAGAGGGAGTGTCCAAGATGCCAGGCCAAGGCCGCATCTCTGGGATGCTCCATGGGGACCACCACCAGCCCCGTGTGCGTGTGTGTGTATGTATATGTCTGTCTGTCTTTCTTTTTTCTTTCACACAAGCACATACTCGTTCACTCACACATCCCCAAAAAATGACATGTGTTTTTTTTGGCTTTGGACTGGTTCTCAGAGGACTTGCTTTCTAATACTGCTCTGTGGTGGCTTTGCTGTGTGACCCTGGACAAGGCATCCTATCTCCCCGAGTCTCCAACTCCCCAATCTAAAAGTCAGAGACCCGACTGGATAGTTATAGAGGTCCCGTCCACACGTGAAATCACCTGAACCCACAATCCAGGCAGCCCACACTCCCACCTCTACAAGGCTACATGGCACAGAAGAGAGAAAGTACACGATTTGGGAGTCAGGCAGAGCTGGGTTCAAATCCCACCTCTGCCATTTACTGCTGTGTGCCATTGGGCAGGTCATTGCACGTCTATAAGCCTCAGTTTCCTCATCTGTAAGATGGGGCTAATAATGACACCCATCTCGTAGTCTTGTGCGGGTTAAATGAGCTAATGCCTGCAAGGTGCTTCGGATAGAACCTGGCACAAAATTCCATTCAATAAACACCTACTACTACTACTACTACGAATGTGTTGTTCTAAATAACCTAGATCAGCACTTGAGCAAATGGCAGATACTTTCATGCACGTTTATCTCTTCTTCCTCCCGCTCTCTGCCACCTTGGTCAGTGGCCCAGAGAAATCGTTTTGGGGGGCATGGCTGTCGCTTTCTCCCAGAGGCTAGGGCTGGGGCCTCAGCATTGCACCGTGAGGACAGTGACTGGTTTTGTTCTCCCCTTACTCCCAGTGCCAAACCCAGTAGTCACTCAACAAACATTGCCTGAACGAGTGAACAAATGAATGAATGAATAAATCCTAGCCTCCTGAGAACGCTGATTCTCCTCCACAACATTATCTAAATCTGAAGGGAAAACAAAACAACACTTCATCTGTACTTTGATCTTGCAGCAAGTTAACAGGACCCAGAACCTCTCCACTTGCCAGAGAGAATTGGCTCTGGGCTTTGGAGCCAGGGGCCGTTTTGGGGGTTCTGGGATTTGGTGAGTCAATCCGGGATCTTCTTTAGGGGTAGATCTACCCTCCGGCCCCACTCCTGGCCCCTACCCTTTTTGCCTTCCCCACCCAGGTTGAACTGTCCAGATCTTGGCAGAACGCCTTATCCTGCCTACCAACCCCCACTCTTAAACCCACTCCAGGTCCAGGGTTTGGAGGACCCTGCATGTGTGCAGCACTCTAGGTGTGGGGTGAGGGGCCCCCGATTGCTCTCTTTCCCTCTTGCTCCCCACCCCTCCCCCGCTCTGTTCTAGCTGCGCATGAGACCTCTGAGCTCACTCTAATGGTCCCAGCCTGAGACCAGCATTTTCCATGAGATTCTCAGTACACCTTCATCAGAGTCACTCTGTGGGGCTTGGGGCCCCACTTGGAGACCCAGGGAATCAGAAGCACTGAGAGGGAAGCTGGGAATTGGAGTTCAACAGGCCCTAAGGAGGTTCCTTTGCTCACTGAAACTCTGGAACCCTGCCCCAGGGTCCCCTGAAAGCTGCAAAGGGGGCTCGAGCTACAATTAAGGTTTCAAAAGGCCCAACGGAAACCTCGCCTTTACCCTTGATTTGGGTGCTCAGGCAATTATGTAATAAACGCTGTCTGGTAGGCAGAAACGTTCCAAATATGGGGCCCTCTGAAGGGACACAAGGAATCCTTCATAGTGCAAGGGTCAGCACTCCTGGGCTCTTGGACCTCATTTCTAGATGACTGTTCGTGAACACATTGTTTTACCCCTTCCCTGGGTTACCTGGGTCATCCTGCAATATGCCTCCTTAGCACGACTCTGCTCCTCAAAAGAATATAATGCCATTTGCATATCCGGAGTTAGCTCTGGACCCTCCTTTCCATAGCCTGTTAGGCCACCCAACACATGGTAAGCCTCAATCAATATTCGAGCAAATGATCAGTAAAAATTAGCTTTTAACATGTATTTTTATGTACCGGGCACTATGCAGAGTGCTCACACCATAGTTGTCATTTAATCTCACCTTAGCTCTGACAAGGTGGCCACCATAGGATGATCTTTCTTTTGCACATGAGGAAACTATGACTCAAAGAGATTAAGTCCCTTGTCCACCGGCAAGCATAGATAAAGTCACCTGTGTCTTCCTCCAGGGACTGAACTCCTACCATTACATCATAAAACTTCTGAGAGACAAGACTGTTAATGAAAACTTTCATTAAGACCCAGGGTGACACCGACTTTACTGCCTGCTTTTATCCATCTGTTTGTCTACCATCATCCACCCTCACCCATCATTTACCATCGGTCCTCCGTCCGTCCATCATTCAGCCATCCATCCATCACTCGTCCATCATCCACCCATCCCTCATGCAGCCATCAGCCAGGCACCGTTCATCATCCGTCATTCTCTTCATCTACCTATCCCTCATCCGGCCAGCCAGCAATAACCCATTCATCTTGATCTCTCATTACCTCCGTCTAAACCAGCTCCCGATCTGGGATCAAAGTCCTACCCACCCATCCCTATTCTTACTTAGTATTTTCGGTGTCCCTAATACCTGTATGTCACCAGGACAAAAACAAAATGATATTCCAAACAACTCCACACATGCACAGAACTTAATTAAGCCCTAAGGGTCATTCAGTTGACCTTATCTCCTCAGAGCAGAAATTCCAGCCTTAAGCCCAGGGCTCCCCCCCAGGGGAGCAGAAGTAAGATCAAGATGGAGAAGGAAGATGAGGAATTAAGAAGACAAGGGCTGAGAAAAAAACTTTAGGAAATCACAGACTACTGGACATGAGCTCCTGAAGCCCACCCCCCTGCACATCACTCAGATAAGGGAACCAGAGGTCCAGAGCTCCAGGCTTCATCACACTTGTTACTCTCTACTTTGAATCCTAATTATTAAAGTTTTAGTTATTTCCCCTGTTAAAATAATAAATCTGTTAGGACTTGTGTTTTATTGATTCCATAGCACCTGGCAATGTGCCTAGTGTACAAGTATTGCTTTGTATACATTTATTAGATGGATAGGTCTGTGCGAGATGGCCAGAGGGTTTGGCAGGTGAAGGGAAGGACACCTGGAAAGGTGAATGAGTGGATGATTAGATGCGTGTGTGAATACATTGGGGGATGGGTGGAGGGTCAGTGGTATGAGAGGATGAGAGAGTACTTGGAAAGATGGAAGGATGGAGACGAGTCATGCTTTGGAACTCTAGTTCCTTCAGCAATCCCCTCACAAAGAGCAAACCTTATCACATCCATTGCGATGGCTACTATCAAAAAACGGAAACTAACCAGTGTTGGTGAGGATGTGGAGAAATTGGAACACTTCTGCACTAGGGGTGGGGATGTAAAATGGTGCAGCCACTGTGGAAAACAATATGGGGGTCCTCAAAAATTAAAAAAAAGAACTACCATTTTATATTATGTGTATTTTACCACAATTTAAAATAATAAGAATAACCAGTAAATTTATGAGCCCTGCCTTCAAAATCTATCCCAGATTCTGTCTCTACGGCCACCACCGTTGGCCAAGCCACTATCATCTCTTGCCTGGATGATTCCAGGAGCCCCCTCCCGGTGCTTTCCTCCTGTTCCTACTGTGGCCCCCACTCCATCTATTTTCCCATAACAGCCAGAGTGATTTTTTAAAAAGCTTATTCAGTGGAACCACTGAGTGTTCAGAGAAGGTACTAAAAACTTCCAGAGAGACAAAACGAAACTAAACAAGCAGAAAAACACACAAAAACAAAAAATAAGGTTACATTCCAAAAAGAGGACATAAAAAGGCTTCTGACTTCGAAGGAAAAACTCCAGTAACCAGAAGATAGAGAAATGCTTTCAAATTTCTAAGGGAAAATGTGGTTTTCAACCTAGATTTCTGTACACGGCCAAACTACTGTTAACCGTGAAGGCATGAGAACAAGAATACAACAAAACCCTACCTCCCACACACCCTCTCTTAGGACACTGTGATCAGAAGAATAACAAGTCCTATCCACGTTACGTAGCATTCACCGCGTGCCTGGCACCGTTCTAAGGATTTTACGTACAGTGACTCACTCAATCGTTATAGCAATCCTGAAAAGTAGGTACCAGTATGAGGTTGAGACAGAGAGGTGAAATATCTTGCCCGTGGTCACCCCAGAGAGTAATGGGGAGGGCAATGGGGTGTGAATCTCAGCAGCCTGGCTCCAGAGCAAGAGCTCTATCTCCTTGCTACCTGGCCCCTCATCTCCTTTTTCGGGGATGAGGTATGGTCCCCAAAAAAGGGGGATATATATCAAAGTATACCATGTGGCTCAG